GCATGGCTTGAAGCTTCTGGATGAAACCCTCAGAGTGAGCTTACCTAAGCCTGGCTTTTTCTTGGGCTTTAGGCAATTCCCACGTCATCAGGATGTCACAAAGTGACTCGAGTGAGCTCGAACTCCACTTTTGGTCTGAGTTCATTAACTCAGCTGGAGAAACGAGGAGTAGAAGTGGCATTCCAGGGGTTGTATAATTTCTGCAGCCAGCTAAGAGATCTCTTGCTGGGATTTTGTTGTTCTTTTAGAGAACCGCTTTTAAATTTACTTTTTTTTTTTTTTCCCTTTCTCAGTTTCCAGCAGAACAGCATCACACAAATAGCTCCCATTAATTTTTCAAATGAGCTTGGGTACTTTGTGTACCTTCCTGCTGGGTTTTCATCCTACGTCGAACCTGATCTTATTTTTCTTTCTTTTTTTTCCCTTTAATTCTGGTGAACAGTTTTCTTAAAAGGATAAGCCTCTTTTTTTTAATATCTACTGAAATACAGGGTAACAAGGCTCAGGTTTTTTTTTTTACTACCTACTGAAATATATTTATTAGATTCTTGTTACCCTGTATTATCTTGACATGCTGTGTGAAAAGAAAAACACATTTAAATGAGCTGTTCCTGGCTTATGAGACCACATTTCCCCCCCCCGTAGTCTTACAAAGAAGATCACAGGTCTTTTTATTTGTTTTTTTAAACTTAGCATAAATGTTAAGCACAACCTGAGTCAATTATCCTGCATTTTGCATATTATTTGCTTTGTTAATGTCATTTGCAGCCCCAAATCAGAATCTTTCTCTGCTTGGAGGCTGGAAATAGCAGTTGGAGATTTGCTTACAAGCCTGATGAATATAATACCCAGAACTTGAAACAAATTTCAACTTGTAATAGCCAAGAGCTTTAGCAGCAGCCCACCCAGCAATGTGAAAGGAAGCCTTTGAAGATGTCTTTAAAATTGACGGAGCATGAGCCGTGGCTGCAGTGAAGTGTGTTCCAGTAAGGCTTCCTGAATTTATTTTGTCTCCTTCGATGATAAGGGAGTTCTGGAGGAAGGTCTTTGCAACCTGCTCAGTCCTTCTAAGATGATCAAAAGCCCCAACATCTAACACGCTTCATAAAATTGCAGAAGAGCCAGATAGGAGACATTTTAATTAAAAGCAAGAGTGTGCTGTTATAATGATAAATCTAGGCAATGACAGGAGGCTGTAGCTCAAGTACCATGAGCTGGTGCTTTCAAACAGGCTCTGCTTGGGTGCTTTGCATGTTGGTTGAATTTGCATGTGAGATTCAGTATCAGATTAGAGAGGCTTTTGCCTAAGATGCTAAATACGGGCTCTGTAGCATGCTTAAATGGGTATTTTACACAAAATCAGATTCTTAGAACTCCTTTTCTTTCTTTTCAATTATTGGACATAATTGACAACAGTAAAAAAAAAAAAAAAAAAGAAAAAAGAAAAGAGAACGTTGGGAAACATCTATTTTTTTTATACATAAGTTGTGTTTTGGGTGGGGTTTACTTAAATTAAATAGGGCCATGAAGATGATCCAAGGGCTAGTACCCCTCTGCTGGGAGCCCAGCAGGAGAGAGCTGGGCTTGGGCAGCCTGCAGAGGAGAAGGCCCCAGCTGGGGCGACCTTCTGGTGGCCTGCCAGTGCTTCGGGGGGCCTGTCAGAAAGCTGGGGACAGGCTTTTGAGCAGGGCCTGTTGGGACAGTACAAGGGTTGATGGGTTGAAACTCAAAAGAGGGGGATTCAGACTAGAGAGAAAGAAGAGATTTTTGGTGCTGAGGGTGGTGAGCCCCTGTCCCAGGTTGCCCAGAGAGGTGGTGGCTGCCCCATCCCTGGAACCATTCCAGGTGAGGTTGGCCGGGGCTCTGAGCAACCTGCTCTAGTTGGGGATGTCCCTGCTCCCTGCAGGGGGATTGGACTGGATGACCCTGAAAGGTCTCTTCTCACCCAAACCATCCTATGTGTCTGTGGCTTTTCTTTTCACTACCCTATTACAAGAGGGCACCTATGTTCTTCTTGGGACATGTATTCCTTATACCACCTTTGCACTAAGCAAGGAATATTTTTCCAAAAAAGCATTTTAGTTGCATCTCCAAAATATTTGAGTCAATAAAAATGAAGTTCTTTAAAATTTGCCCTGATATAAATAGTGGCTTGACCCAGGTGACCTCTAGAAGACCTTTCCAAATGAAATTATTGCATGAGAGCCATTTTTGGGGGTCTGTAATAAGAGCAGAAATTGCAGGAGTGATCTTAGATACCTCTGTCTTCCCCATCTGGAGCCTGTGGTGGTGAAGTGAGTGTGGAGGCCACCTCCTCGTCCTACCTAGCCAAGGTTTCCCGTTTCCCGGGCCTGGTCATGGCGGTGCCACGTCACTGGGCCTCTGTAGCTGGAAGAGCTCAGCTACATTATCCAACCTGCCAATTATAGCTCTGGTTTCGAAATCTCTGTCATTAGTGGCTAGTGTTGTTTGGAAGAAAAAAACCTGTGGAAGTTTGGGTTAGCTTGAAACTTGCAAAAAGCATTTAATATGGAAATGAAAGATGTTTATTGTGGAAGAGAAAATGTAAACTCCAATAAGGGGCTTTTGCAGTTGTTTAGTTTTTGACCATAGCCATGAGTTTTTGTTGACAAGTGGCTCTTCTGGAAGAGCTGATGGCCACTTGGGGAACGATTCTGCAGCTAAATCTCATCCTGCAAACCTTTCTACCCGGATAGAGTTCTTCTGTGCACAAATCTCGGTCTGCAAGCAATTTGATTTTGCTGGCTTGGGATTAAGTAGGTATCTAAGATTCCTTGTTGCTGTCAGAATTTCCCCCCGTGCTCCCTGCCCATAGGCTGACACATCTGAGATCATGTTTTTCATATCCAAGTTAGTGTTGGCTTTCTATCAAACCAAAAAAACCTCAAAAGCCAAACATAATATTGGGCTTGTTCTGCCTAGGAAGAAATTTATATAACTAAGTGAAACAAGACTGAAACTTTTTTTTTTTTTTTTTGGGTGTACTAAGGCTGAGAAGTCCCAGTAAAGCTGTGTTCATTTAAGTTGAGTATTGGGTCAATGAATAACCCTTTTCTTTTTTTCTTCCAGAGCTTATGTTGAAAAGTACCTCCTGGAGAAATCAAGACTAGTCTACCAGGAGCACAATGAACGGTAGGTGCCTATATTTTGCTTACAGGCTTGATTTTGACTTCTATATGTACTGATAGCATGGCACACGGATGGCTTAAAACCCTCTTTGAGCTGGCACAGGGTGGGGGCATCAGGGTTTCCAGACTCCTAAACCTGTGCTGCAAAGATGAACAATGCATTTTGTATTTGGAGGAGTTTGATGAGTGTATTACCCAGGAGAAACCAACTCCATAATTTTATTGACACTTCTGGACTTCTATTGTCTTTATGATTCAGGTCATATGGATTGTTAATGCACCATTTTTTTTCTTCTGCGACCTGTAAGTTGTTTAACATCAAATTAGGAGGGGATGAAGGTGGTGTTTTAGTTCTGTTTTACAGTTCTTAGCACATTGAAGCCATCAGAAGAGCCTCAAGGAAAAGCTAAAATTATACAGACAACAAATTGAAGCAAATTATTTTTATTGAATCCAAGACCGGTTTGGGTGGGAAGGGACCTTGCAGGGTCATCCAGTCCAACCCCCCTGCAGGGAGCAGGGATTTCCCCAACCAGAGCAGGTTGCTCAGAACCCTGGCCAACCTTACCTGGAGTGGTTTCAGGGATGGGGCAGCAACCACCTCTCTGGGCAGCCTGAGCCAGGGGCTCACCACCTTCAGCATCAAAAATGTCTTCCTTCTACCTAGGCTAAATCTCCCTCTTTCAGTTTCAAACCATCCCCCCTTGTCCTGTCCCAACAGGCCCTGCTCAAACGACTGATTTCTTATTTTCATGGTAGTGTTGGGTTGCTGGTTGGACTTCAATGATCTTAGAGGTCTTTTCCAACATTAATGATTCTTGGCTGCAAAAGAAGAGCTCTCATTCTCCATGACTTCATTTAACCTTTGACACCACTGTGAAATTGGTACAGGCCATTTCTAAACAGTGCTCAGCTCAACTCTGACTTTCCAGAGTTTGGAAGCTGGAAAATCAAGTTCTGAGGTTTACATGCACTTCTGTTCTTAATGCTGCTGCTTGTTTTGAAGTCTAATATCTTTTTTTTTTTTTATTTCTCACCAGGAACTACCATGTATTTTATTACCTCCTGGCAGGAGCGAGTGAGGAAGAGAGATCAGCATTTCATCTGAAGCAGCCTGAGGAATATCATTACCTCAACCAGGTGGGAAACCTCTACAGGAATACAATTCCTGATCTTGCCTTGTCTGTTACTGCTATTTAGTGCTGATAAAATGTGTGGAGTAGTAAAAATGGGTTCTCTTAATGCTCTATAGGGAGCCTTCATCATTGGAAATAATTCTGCTTTGGTGATCTGAACATCTCATAACATACAAAAATAAAAATCAGTGTTTTCTAGTTTTGTCCCCTGCCTGGGATATGTGAAATATATTGTGGGCTTAGTTGTCAAAGTTGTCATAATTTACCTGTTTCCTGTGTGAATGTCATATACTCATTAACATCTTGTCTGATGAGTAGTAGAAAAGGGGAAAATATGTGATGGCAGCAGCTCTTCGGGTTATCGTGTCTTGCATGAGGGAGTCCTATTTCTGCAGCTTCATGGCTGGCTGTTAGCATGAGCCTTTGAGTTTAACAGTATCAGAAGTTTAATCATAGAATCCTAGAACGGTTTGGGTTCGAAGGGACCTTAAAGATCATCTTGTTCCAACCTGCCTAGCATGGGACACCTCCAGCTAGAACAGATCACTACAAGCCCCATCCAACCTGGTCTTGAACAGCTCCAGTGAAGGAACATCTGCAATTTCCCTAGGCAATGTGTTCCACTGTCTCACCAACCTCAGGATGAAGAACTTCTTTCTCATTTCCAATTTAAATCTCCCCTCATCCAGTTTGAAGCCATCACACCTCATCCTAGCGCTCCAAGCCTGTGTTAAAAGTCCCTCCCCAGCCTTCATGTAGGCCACCTTGAGGTACTGGGAGGCCACAAAACCCACAGAACTATTGAAAATCTGTGAAATAAAACCGTGTGAGGCAATGCCAATGGCCAAATAAACTCATACTTTGGAAAGTGTGATTTGCTTCAGGTACTTAAGATGCAGTTGTCCACAGATGCTTGTGAATAATAATAGAAAAAGAGAGTAGCAATATGTGGAAGAGTAGTTTGATTACATGTTGATTCTATCTAATTGCAATTTTCCTGGAGCTGAAATGTGATTAGTAATAAAGAAGGTTTTAACCCATAAGCTGGAGAGAAATTCATGTGCACAGTACAACCCAAATAGCCTGTAGTCTCTCTCGAAATCTCATTTAGCCCCCAGATAGATCTCAAGTACTCAAGGCTTTTTAAAGATCTTTTAAAAGCCAAAATCTCTTGTAATAGTAACGACTCCCACCCACTCTTGGCAGGCTCAGGAAACTCGTCCGAGTGAGGAACACATCAAGAGCTGAAGGCTCTTTGCTCCCTGTCTTTGTGCCTCGGGCTTGAGTTGGAAGACATGGTGTGATCTCCACCACCATCTGTGCTGCCATTTTTCAGTGGGAGAGTGCCAAGTTCAGCTTGTTCCAATGTTTGTCAGATTCACGCATTTCGTTGGGCAATCCAGTGGATTTATGTTAGTCAAAAACATTGCTTTTCATTACAGTCCTCTTTTTTTTTTTTTTTTTTTTTTCTTTTTTTTTTTTTTTTTAAATGGCAGTTTAAGGGCTTGAAGATTGAAACTAAAATTACAAATACAATGGCGTGTAGCATGTAGAATTAGTAGGAATGTGGAGATTTAGGTGAAAACCTTTTGATTTCTTTTTTTTTAATCTAAATGAAGATGCTGTAGGCTAGTAGGTTGGAAAAGGACACTGAGGGACATCCAGTGGATCACTGAAGCAGACTCTACTTGCAGTGTATGGACAGTAGCATCAGTCTGAACTTGCAGGATTTTTATTACACTAATTTAAAAATATTTTATAATTAGGTTTAGAGACACCATTTAGTAGTGACAACGTGGGGAAAATGCCTCCTTTAGGTGTGTTCAGGGCATCATTTCATATTATAGGCTTTCTAGCAGTGTAGTAACAGCTTTCCCATGCCCAAACAAAGGAGAAAAAGGAAAATAAGGAGAAAAAAGGGAAAAGAGGTAGCAGAGCAAAGAAACTTTGGACATGTAAAATAAGACAATTATAAAAAGACCCTTGAGCATTTACAACAGCTGCTTAAATATATCCTAGAGAACTCCCTACTTTTTTAAAGGGACAAAAAATGAGCTCAGAAATGAACTAAAGTGTTGAATTAAAATAAAATATTAGAATTGAAAAGCTCTGAAATATTGAACCCAGCCCCTCAAGTCTCAGTCCTTGAGTCAAGTGTTATTTTTGTTCTCCCAGGTCCCTCAGCTCACGCTGGGTTACGCAAAACAAACACATATTTCAGCAAAATGTGCTGTTATTTTGTTGATCCATAAATGCAGGGAGCAGGTTTGAAAAAAAAAAAAAAATCCATTTAAATTTCTTTTTAAAAGCAAATTTACTTAAACTCTCCCCCGGGTTGGGATGACTTCTCCACGTCTCATACCAATGACATTCCCTGAATATTTTCTGTGCTGATTATTCACATTTTTCCATTTTAAAAATCAGCCATTTTCAGGATTAGATCCTTATTTTAAGCTCCGGTCACTGAGAAGCGTTTTAACTCCTCTCATCTCCATCTCCATCTGATTGCAAAAAATTACAAATTTCTAAAAGGCTTCCAAGTGTTGCTTTCTAACCCATTGGAGACTTGTACTTTTGCAGCACTTACGTGTGTCTAGGAGCAGAAGTTGAGAGTAGAAATAAAAAAAATCTGTTCTTCAGAGGGATTTTCCATTAGTAACTCGTCAGCTCGAGGTAAGCCAAAGGTTTCTCCAGCTGTGGAGCAAAAGAAAAGATCTTCAGATCCATCAAGCTGATTGCATGCGAGGTCCTTGCTGTCTTGAAAACCTTCAGCAGG